AAGAAGAAGAGCAGTGGAGCGACACCTGCTGGAACTGGCCTGGCTCCAAATCAGGAGTCGGACCAGCCCAGACCGACGGGAGCTGTGGCGGTAGACCAGGCTCCTTCACAGGGGATGGGTCGGCCGGGTCAGCTCTCGCTGGAGCTACCGGAGGCTACGGACGTGGAGGCGGCGGGTCCAAGCGGGATATCCACAGAAAACATCGTGGCGGACCCTGCGATGGATCTGGTCCCAGAGGGAAACGATAGCGACTCGGACGAGGATGGAATCCTGAACCGAGTCCGAGAACTCCTCCGTGGAAGCGGAGATGAAGGCGGCTGTGGCAGCGATGACTGCGGCGGCGACGGCGGTACGCCCGAATAGGGGTTACATACCGTCATTCGGGAAGGTGTAGGAAGGGCCTCTCAACATCCATGGTAAGTTTTAATTTCATCCAAATTAACTTACAACACTGCATAGCGGCTTCGAGGGCCCTTACTCAGGAGATCACTCGAGGCCGACATGACGTGGCTCTCATCCAGGAACCCTGGCTGAGAAACGGTTCAGTAAACGGGCTTAGTATACCGGGCTATACGCTTTTTAGCGATACCCCGGACACTAAGCCCAGAGCTTGCGTAATGACTTCCGTCAACTCATGGCAACTTAAAGAATTTACATTCAGAGACTTAGTTGCAGTCAGAATTAGATATAAGAAGGAAGGCAGTGACAGAGACTTGGTTGTATGTTCGGCTTACCTTCCTTACGATTCAAGAGACCCTCCTCCGTCTAAGGAAATGGGGGACCTTGTCGCATTCTGTAGGGATTCTGGACTCGACCTTGTGATTGGATGCGACAGTAATGCCCATCACGTTACGTGGGGCAGCTCGAACACCAACAGACGGGGCGAAGACCTGATGGAGTTTCTTGGGGGCATCGAACCTTGAGGTTCTGAATGTCGGTAACATGTCCACTTTCAGCAATAGTGTAAGAGAAGAGGTTATCGACGTAACACTGAGCACGCTTAACTTAGCTCAGGACATCAGGGACTGGAAAGTGTCTCTAACACCCTCTCTATCGGATCACAGGTATATACTGTTCAAGACTGATGGAGAGATTCCGGATAAATATGCTCGGAATCCCAGGCATACTAGATGGGGGTCCTTTAGGGCAGACATTGACAGTAAGCTTGGAGCGGTCCCATACAGGCTTAGCAGGGGCTCTGACATAGAAGCAGCTGTCGAGTCTCTGAGCAGGGACTTGACGGCTGCATATGAGGAAAACTGCCCGTTACGCAAAGTACAAGGTAAGGGCAAGGCAACCTTCTGGACCAAAGATTTAGAGGATAGAAAACGAGCGGTGCACAAACTTCTCAGCAGAGTTAAGCACAGGAGAGGTTCTCCTCTATGGGAAGAATACAAAAAGGCATTGCAGGAGTACAAAAAGGAGATTAGAAGGGCCTCCAGAGAATCTTGGAGGCACTTCTGTCAGTCCATAAATGACATTCCTGCTACTGCAAGAATACACAGAGTCCTATGCAAAGACATTAAAGCAAGATTGGGATCTCTGCATGATCCCTCGGGGGGGAACACTACTTCCGAGGAAGATACTCTGAGGCTTCTGATGGATACGCACTTTCCCGGTTCCACAGTAGCGCGATCAATCACAGAGTGCATGCAGTTGCGCAGGCCCTCAAGGGAGGACTGGCGCACGGCAAGGGAGATTGTCACCTTCGAAAGGACGGTATGGGCAGTAGATTCGTTTGCCCCATACAAAAGTCCAGGTCTGGACGGCGTATTTCCGGCCATGTTACAGCAGGGACGGATTTCGGTTGTTCCTTACCTGTTGAAGGTGTTTCGAGCATGTGTGGCCACGGGCTTCACACCTAGAAGCTGGCGGCAGGCTAAAGTGGTATTCATTCCTAAACCGGGCAGAGATAGATATACTGGCCCGAAGGATTTTCGACCGATTACTCTTTCATCTTTTGTGCTTAAGACCCTGGAAAGGATAGTTGATAGATACCTAAGGGATGGCCCACTGGAAAGGTGTGTCATTCATGCAAATCAGTTTGCATACCAAGCTGGAAAATCGACTGATCTGGCCTTACACAATCTGGTCGGGAGGCTGGAGAAGACTCTAGATCAGCGAGAAGTGGCACTCGTGGCCTTCTTAGATATTGAAGGTGCATTTAATTGCACCACAACCGACTCTATCAGACAGGCCTTGGTTAGACACGGGGTTGGATCAATCCTAATAGATTGGGTCCTCTCTACTCTGGAGGGTCGGGTAACAACAGCTATGCTGAATAACGTAAGCTGCAGCGTGAACGTAGCTAGAGGCTGCCCTCAGGGCGGAGTTCTGTCACCCCTACTGTGGTGTATTGTGGTGAACGAACTGCTCGTTAGGCTCAGCAGTATGGGTGTCTACGCGCAAGCCTATGCTGATGACGTAAGCATAGTGGTTAGGGGGCGTTTCTGTAGAACAGTCTCGGAAATTATGCAGGGCGCTCTGCGCTCCGTGGAATCGTGGTGTAGGGAAGTCGATCTTTCTGTTAATGCTGAAAAGACCGAGCTGATCCTATTCACTAGGAGAAGAAGGCTTGACGGACTGGTCATGCCTACCTTCTTTGGGACTAGATTAGTTTTGTCCCAGTCAGTGAAATATCTGGGAATTATCCTGGACTGCAAACTGAACTGGAGAGAGCATGTGGAACACAAGGTTAGCAAGGCTCGCAATTCGATGTGGGCTTGTAGACGTGTTGTCGGTGTAAGGTGGGGGCTTAAACCCAAAGTGGTATACTGGCTCTACACGACGATAGTACGTCCATCTCTCTTGTACGGCTCCCTGGTCTGGTGGCCTTGCATTAGAACTGAGTCAACTAAGGCCAAACTCAATAAAATTCAGCGTTTGGCCTGTATTAGCATTACAAGCGCAGTGCGAACAACGCCATTGGGTGCAATGGAAGCTCTGTTGGATCTCCCACCGTTGGATCTGGTGATCCGCGGTGAAGCGAGAGTAGTCGCTCATCGACTGTGGAGTCAGTGCAGCTGGGCTTTCTTGAATCCGGTCAAGGGGCATACTGCCATATTAGTCGAATTAGAAAGGGAGGACCCCGTCCTTCTAAGCAGGGGTGATCGTATTACCCCTAAATATCGCTTCAACCGCAAGTTTATTGTGGAGTACCCAACGAGGGAGGAGTGGGACGCCGGTAGCCGAGGACTCTCCGAAGTGAGCGGGCAGGTCTGGTACACGGACGGCTCGGTCACCGAAGAGGGCTCAGGTGCTGGGGTCTCTGGACCTAGAACTAGGCTATCTCTGCCTCTCGGTGAGTACACCACCATTTTCCAGGCGGAAATCTTTGCGATTCTGGCTTGTGTATCTCACATTCTGGAGGAGGGTGGGCCTAGGAGAAGAGTAACAATCTTATCCGACAGCCAGGCTGCAATGAAAGCACTAAGTGCATGTAAGATTACTTCGAGTCTTGTATTGCAATGCAGGGAGGCTCTGGATTGCCTCGCAGCGAGGCATCCGGTATTGTTAATATGGGTACCGGGGCACGCTGGGATAAGGGGCAATGAGACGGCGGACACTCTGGCGAAAACAGGATCAGCCAGCAAGCTCGTTGGTCCTGAGCCAGCTCTAGGAGTAACCGCGCATAAAGCTAGGAGGAAAATGGAGACGTGGGTTGCAAGACAACACTCTCAGAAATGGAGAAGTATCTCTAGGGTCCAGTGCTAAGGATGGACGCTTCTGCCTATCTCTGGGTAGAGCCAACCTAAGGTTGCTGGTGGGACTGTTGTCTGGCCATAACACGTTAAGGCGGCACCTGCACGTGATGGGGGTGGCTGAGGATCCCTTGTGCGAACGCTGCGGAGTAGAGGAAGAGACCTCGGCGCACGTTTTGTGTCGCTGTGAAGCTCTGAGCTACTATAGGCAGACTATACTGGGGTCCATTACTTTGGACCCTCAGGACGTAAAGGAGCTTGGACTCAAGGCGATTCTCAACTTCGCTAAAAGGGCGAGGCTTGTGATTTAAGTATTATAGAGGTGCATAAGGGCCCGCTTAAGCGGCCTATGCACTGGCTCCTTATGGTGGCCGGGATGCCTCTAAAATTCAAGATTCATTCATTCATTCATCTCACAAATAACATTTACAACCTTCTACCCCCTACAACCTCCAATCCCCAATTTTTACCCCTTACATATTTTTTTTTTCGAAAATGATCAAGAGCCTCTGAAACGCCAAAAAACGATATTTGAGCGATTTTTGTTTTTTTGTTTTTGGTCCTTTTCTCCGCCGCCACTAGACCGATTTTCTAAAACTAAAAAGCTGTTTTGTCCTTGGAATAGTAGTAAGATTAAGTCAAAATTTCTTTAAAATCCGTGCGGTACTTCTCGAGGTATAAGCGGGTATAAGATTAGCGGACAGACCAACTGCCAGACCGACGGGAATGAGTGGCAGGGTTTTTCGTGATGTACTCGTACATCCTAAAAAAAAATAATATCTCATTTTATAAATTTTTCGCAATTGCAGTGGCGTAGGAAGTAAAAACGGAATCTTGGGCCTTTGGCCAAAGTCATTCAGTTCAGTTTTTATTTTGTCTCTCAAAAATTTCTATAATATTATTAGAAAGAATATTTAAGCTCAAGAACAAAAAATTCTTGTCAAAGATCAGCATGCAGCAAAGGTTAAACGCAGGACAATGTCAATACGGAACGATTTCAGCCCGTAGGACTAACTCCTTACCCACGTCTGAGTGTCACGGTTGTCAAGGGTTCCTCATACTATGCAGAAGGTAACTTTCATACCGCAATCTTTGGGTCTTGAAGTGATGCAGTCATATACACTTATAGCTATGCTTTCTGCCGTTAGCAATAGAATCGAAAATGCTGCATTAGGACACTTCTATAGCATCTCTGGAATCACGGCTTGATTAACGACTTTCAGTCGCGAATAAAGTTTTTTTATTTAGGACCTACAAGAGAAGCTCTGTATATGGATGGCTTCTCCGGTCGTAATTTACCTGAAATTCTCCAGGTACATGACTGGTATTCCACATTTGGGAGCCAATGGAGCGCAAGAGAAGGGGCCGGTTGAGCTGAACCTTATGAGAAAAAAAACACCTTATCTCAGATGGATGTTTGAGGTCATTTTGGTTTCCCTTCTGGCTCTTTTCTCTCACTTGTGGATTCTTAGTTCAAATAGCGGGTATCCAATGGTGTCAGTATGAAAAATGACCATCGGAGAGCTGTGAGAATAACACTGTGGATTTTATAGCTGTTCTATTGAGGTTAATCTGTCGGTTCTAGCGACACTCACTGGATGTTAGCGGTAGAATGTGAAGAAAATAGGGTTCTGGAAATAACCATACTTATATGGTCTAGGGAGGGAGATTCGGCACAAACATTCAATATGGACTGAGCAATTAGGCATTAAACATAGGTTTTAATGATCCGATGCTAAATCTGTTGGAGACGTATCTAAAAGATGTGTTTTATAATTTATTCAAGTCATATAGGTGCTCAAGCACATCAGTTACCTTAAGGATCGAACTTGGGTCCCCTGCTGTTTCTTGTTTTTATAAATGTCTTAGCTTCAATGTAAAGTTTGCTCCTATAGGCTAAATCGCTCGCGCACAACTTACATAATTACCGACAGAATTATTCAGCGTAAAATAACAGTAAACGATTTGGGTGTATTATTCAATCATACTCTGTCATTTGCTAGCCGCATTCAAGAAGTGTTCAACGTATCCTGCAAATTATTAGGTTTCGTGATAAGGAATAAAAGATTATTTAACAATATTCAAATAATTAAATCTTTATATCTCATTATAACAAGGCATAAGCGTGAATACTGCTCAAACATCTGGTATCATTATCGCAACCTATACATTCAGAAATTAGAGAAGATACAACGGCGTGTCCTAAAATATTTGTCATTTAGAATCTATGAGAGCTATCCCGATCATAATATGCTTATAGATCGATTTTCTGTGTACTTTTTATACCAACCCAGAATATCCACGAGTGTAAACTATATCTTTGAATAGGTCTCCTAGAGGTGATGTCCCTGTCAATTCGCCTGTGAATGTACTTTGAATAATACTTTTCGCAGGATAACATTATTCACAGCACATTGAAACAACTAATAAACGCGATTGATTATCAGCTTAATCAACATAATAGGCATTAGTTATATGTTATCTTTATTTAGAGATATGTAGTACGGGTGGTATCATAAGAGTTGGAAATTTTGGTTTGTTGCTTGTAGTTTTGTTTTTCACTTTCTTTGACTTTAATCTGAAATAATATAGTAATATTGTCCTATAATTGTATTTTGGACGTGTTATTGTACTGTATATTTGTTTATTTATTTATTATCATCCTTCCACAAACAATGGTCAGACCATGGGCGTATTTAGAGAAAGTTTGCCTAGGTAGGCGGGGGTTGGCACACTTTGCACCTTGCAAGTTTCCTCATAAAAACAGAAGAGTCAGGCGAGTAACAGTAACATTTTTTTTCATGATTGACGATGAAAACTCCCAATGACCCCCATACCCACTCCCTTAGCTTCGCCTACGGTTCAGGAATTTTTTGGGAATTTTGTTTGATTATAGGGTATTTGGAGGACCCTATTCAGCAGGGATCTTGGGCACATGGCCCATAGGAGACGAAGTAATAGATATGTGGACTTTGACGGACACTCAATTGTGTGTGAAATGTACGTATATGATGGGAAAATAAAGAACATTATTATTATTGCTATTATTATTATTATTACTATTATTATTATTATTACTATTATTATTATTAATATTATTATTATTATTATTATAATTATTATTATTATAATTTACTCATATTGAAATTCACATAAAAATAGCGCAAAGATAAATTTCTTCAACAACTAATAATTCGATTTAATAATTATATGATTACATTTGAAAATTACATTTACAAAAATAATTATGTTAATAAACTGAAAACAGCATGTTTTCTTGTTTGATGAGTTAAATGAAGAATGTTTTTCCTAATTTTTCATTCAGAGCAAGAATAATTATTGATAGTAATAAATTCTTATTCACAAATAATAGAGTTATTACATAATAGACTAAATAACTAAACGTCGTCAGGTTATAAAAGGGTAAAAAGGCAGTATTTGTATCATACAGAGAATAAAAGCAGTATAGCTTGTAGACTGCTACAGTATTTGTATCATACAGAGGATAAAAGCAGTATGGTTTGTGGACTACTGCAATTTTTTGATCAATGACTTAAACAAGGCAGTTAACTAACTTTACTGCCTTTTACCTAAGTGCAGCAGTTTAGAAAAAACTTCTTATTATGACTCAAAGCACAAAGGAAATATGTCATGATGATTAATCCTTCAAGCTAATATGTAAATTCAACAAAAGATAAACATATTTACAGCACAATCATTATCATGCATCCGTCGGCAAGGACGAACATAGCAGTTATATTTTAGCGCTTCACATCACAATGGAAAACAAACCCATAAAGTTTATTGCACAGTGCGCTGGCTTTATCACACCTGCCGGCGGAAAAAAAATCGCGAGTGCATACGCGCCATAACGTGCGGCGTCCTTGCCAACGTACTTCGCGCTCATTCGCGCATGCAGGTATAATCCACGAGCAAATAACTCGTGTGTAGATTACATCAGCTTGTTCCAGGAAGAAGCATCTAGTTGCATAGGCGTACGAAACTAAATGTAGAGGAAGTGGTTTTTCTTTTGTTCGAATCGTCCAATGGGAAGCAACTAGGTTGTTTGTGTATTGCTTTCCCAGAATAACTACCCTCCAAGTTTTGCTGATGCCAGTATAAAGAAGAGACTACACCAAATTTATAATAAAAGAGAACGCACTGACGAACTGGACAAGAAATTTGTATCATTGCCTTATGTGGCAGGTACTAGCTGAAAATAAAAAAAAAATCTTGTATGTAGACATTCTACACTATTTCAGAAGAAACATCCTTGAAATCATAAATATGTATATATATACATAAGTAGGAAAATAATGGGCAAAATCCGCAAAAAGGAGGAAAGTCGATTCGAGCAGAAAATAGGATAGGTAACCCGAGCGATACGTATTTCTGCTGGTTGGCTTCATCAGGCCCGAAATGAATGCACATATTTATGAAACTACAAAAGTAGATACACATGCCCACACATCCGGATACGGGTGTAACCTGAGGAAACGAAGTTGGAGGGCAAAAAAAAACGACACACGAAGTCCACAACAAGAGCCAACCTACACATTGTAGTATAAAATGGCTATACGACCTCGAATTTTCAAGGAGACGTCTAACCACCACCACGCGGCGGGCCGGTTATAGCCACTTGCTGTGGTACGTTATATTCTGTGCTTTTATCATAGAGACAGCCAAAGGATTTCGAATAGGATGGAGAATAAGAAGACAAACAAATCTTTGACTGGCTTCTCCTACCTAGTCACAAATCGTTGAGACAACCCAACACAATAGCCAACAATTCCATAAAAAGCTCATCATTTGGCAGAATGCTAATCAATTAAGGCGGTTATGTATACGTGGTGTTTATGGACATAGTCGGAACATGCGTGTCCACAACAAATCAATGTGTATCGTAGCGAATATATCTGCACCTGAAAAAAGTATCTTTGTATCTGTATCATCAAATAATATACATTCATTTCCTGGACCCACTCAAAAACCCCTTCAGCCGTCTATGTGCAGAGTTAAAATAGTATTATTTGCGGATGTCATCAGCAGACGACACTGCAGTGACGTTTAATTATCATAAAATGAATATGCATTTGTCTCAACAAATATCGTAAATACGTATTCTAAATATTGGACTTGTGATACGTGAATATTTTCAATGTCGTGCAAGGATGTTGAACGGATGTCTCGTAAATACCTTAAAAATTGTTAGTTAAGTAAGTAACTACGTCGATAAGGTTTGAGTTTTACAAAAACACAAGTGGGAAAATGGAACCAGATAACATGCATCCCTTTTAAATTAAATTTAAGATTTCGTCAAAGCAAAATAAAACTACCAGATGTTTGCTCTCCGTTTTCTGCGACTATAACCAATCGTCAAGTACCATTAACTAGGTCTAGTCATTCGTATAGAGATGGCAGAAAACAAACAAGAGAAAACGGATCTATTAAAAAACTCGATATTGTGATGTGCGCTAATCAAAATAAAGGTGACACGCCACCTCATAGCAGTGGTTCGCGAACGAACTAGTTAAATCGAACGATTCTTATGATTGAAGTAAGTGAACTAGTTCATCAGTCCTTGAGAAACTCGTTCACTCTTTCACTACCAACGACTGATATTAGAGGATCCCGATGATCCAAGCAAACTAGTTGTGAGTGAACGAACGAGAACGAGATAGCAGAAAGGAGACGTGACACAACAGCAAGCAGAAGATTATACTTATAACCGGTTACCTGGATGTCATAAAAAAGATATTGGCTGACTAATTAAAAATTAGCTAACGTTTAATTATCACCCATTGCGGCTCATGAAGAAATTAAGACAATACTGAACTGAAAATGTGAATTTACTACAAAATTCCATTATTTGTTTAGCCCTATCGGATTATAGCCTATTTTTGCTGACAAGATTGCTTGCTCAGCCTTCAGATCTGGGGTATATTTTGCTCGTTCCTGGCACCAATTCAGGGGTAGAAGCGATTCATGAAAATATATATTTTCTTTGATAATGCCTGCTGCGACTAGATTTTAAACTGCGCAAAGACGTTTTACCTCAAGGTCAGAATCGTCTAATAGGTTTTCTTCTTCTTCAGTTCATTTTCCGCTTGACTTTTTTCTGCGATACTAAGAAAAACGTTCTCTCGAAAGGGTTGCCTAGGTTTGAATCATCTACCGAAAACCTTCTGAACTGGTGGGAACAAAAGAACAAAAGTGCTCATTGTAGGAGAAAACGAGTATATCTCATAGCTACATCTACAATGTGAGCGACAGTTTACGTGGAGTATTTGAATTTGAAACACAACAAAAAATAAAATGA